TTTTTTTTTTTTTTTTTTTTTTTTTTTTTTTTTTTTTTTTTTTAGCTCAGAGCTTCAGAGGATTCAGTCCATGGCTGCTTGACTCTTCTATATTGGGCCAGTGGTGGCCTAGACCATCATGGTAGAAGCAGGTGTCAGTAGAAGAAGCCTATTCACCTCATGGCACTTGGGAAACAAAGAGACTGCAAAAGAAGGTGTTGGGGTCCCAACATCCCTTTCAAGGACAACCCCTCAATGGCCTAACTTCTGTCTGCTGCATGATAACCAACTGTTCTGCCTGCTCACTAGGCCCACTGAGCTAGAGGTTCTGCTGCCTGCACCTCCCCAGAGGTTTCAACACCTGAGCCCTAAGGGAACATTTAACTGAGGATTTAACCACAGTACCTGTGGACTTAGTGTGAGCTACCTGCAGTCCCAACTGATGGCTGTCTGATCAAGGTTGAATATTTTAAGAGTCTGATTTCTCTGCCTTTACCCTGCCTAGTTTATTAGACCAATGAAGGGGGAAATACGTCTATATCTATATCTATATATCTCACATATATCATCAGTCTTTGTAGACACTTGCACAGCTCCTAGGGCAGCATCTTCTGTATAGAAAGCCCCACTACATACTTGTGAAATGTTTAGTAAAATAATCATTGCATTTTCAGAAACTATATCATCTATTCCTTGTGTTCTGGAAGATTTTAAAGTTTTTTTTCTATTTTAATTTTTATTGACATAACTGGAAAATGCTAGGAACTAATCACCTCACAAAATTATTTTTGCCCAAAAATAACTACTCTCACTGACATTTTGAGGGTGATCATGATTTTCCATTTAAATAATGTAGTGTAAATAAGAAATTAATATGTGATTGTAATGTGCACAGATGGTTCCTGGGACGTGCTATTATGGAATGAGTCCTTCTTGAAAAGAAACATCAAAGCTTCACGTGATGGTGAGACACCCGAGGTACTGAGCACGAAGTCTTATTCGCGCTCTTCTACCATTCAGTCCTTGCCTTCCCTCTGCCTTCAGGGAAGGGCAACAGAAGGTACTATCCTAGACCACGGGGCCAACAGACTCTGGGATCTGTCCTTGGGTGATTTTGTAAACGGTCCTGTACGGAGGGGATGAGGTGAATAATGTTTTAAACTTGCTTAACTTGGATGTTAGAGCTACGAATTCACACGCAGGCACACACAGTACAGACACAGGAAAATATCCTAAATGACTAATAAAGCAAGAATCGAGTTGGTGATTTGCCATGAGGACAGCGTTGCAGGAGCCTCTTTGCTCCTCCTACAGGGTCTCAGTCAGACCAAGGCCACAGCAAATGACCAGTCAATCTTGAGTGATGATAGACAGCTGATGCGCACTGACAGAATTCCCTCTGGAAACTCTCCTGGGCTCTCCAGCACAGGAGACTTTGACATGTGTTGGACAAACCTGTTTGGAGCACGTGTTGGCTGAGAATAAGCACATAGTATTTTGTCAGACAATGGGTTGTTTACAAAATTTAATCTTCATCAAATAAGGAAAATGTGGTTGGCAGGTGGAACTCTTGAAGTCTTGTAAAGCAACTGCTTATGGCACGTGCCTGTGTGTGTGTGTGTGTGTGTGTGTGTGTGTGTGTGTGTCTGTGTGAGCTCTGGCCTCTGCCACAGGATGGGAGCAGGAGGTCCCAGCTTGCCCCTTTCCAGGGAGCTCCTTCCACAAGGGGACTCTCGCAGCCACCACGGGCCATTTCTGTGCCACAGGCCAAGTTCTCTTCTCCCAAGTTTTCTTTTAAAGCAAACTCAAGGAAATTCAAAACAGCAGAGTTGAATGGAAAAAAAAAGGGTTTTTTTTTTTTTTTTTTTTTTTTGCTCAGCACGTACGATTTGACCCACGTCGGGAAACACCGCTACTTCCATTTCATTACCCTTTTCTTTGGAGGGACCATTTAAAAACACACACACACACACTTTTTTCAAGGAGTCTGGAGAAGTAGAAGTCAGGAGGCCGAGCATAGCTGAGTCTCACGGACAGCTGGCAGCTCAGGCACACAACAAAGGGTCTGCCGTGATGTGGCCAATTCCATTTCATGAAATCTTTTTTGGTATAAACTGGAGAAAGCACTTTGTTCGGTTAAAGTGTTTTTTCTTTCTTTCTTTCTTTCTTTCTTTCTTTCTTTCTTTCTTTCTTTCTTTCTGCCGGTTGTGTTCGCCAAGACCAACATTTCTTTCCGTGGGGGAGTGGGCACACCCCCTGGCGGCTGATTTGCGCATAGCTCTTTGTCTTGAACAGGCGTTAATTGGGCGTTGCTGTCGCATGGCAGGCGATGCACTGAGCGACTGAGGTTGGAAAACCCAAAGTCTCCCTCTGCGTCTGCTACACAGAGACCAACCACCCCACTTGCTCACAAGGCAGAGGCAGAGCCTTTCCGGGCTCCGTTTTCTCAGTATGAGGTATGCCATGTTTACACTGTCTAGCTCCAGGCATGCCCTCAAGGATCACACAGATAAAGTGAGAGCCAGACAAAGGAGTGTACGTTGCAAATCTGATGAGGCTGAAAGTAATTTAATGTCTTCCTTTTAAAATAAAATACACTTTTTTTTCTTCACCGCTGGGGATTGAATTTAGAGCCTTCACACTGAGCTGTATCTCCACTTCATTTTCCTCCATAGAATTTATCCTATATAGAAAGTGTGCAGTGTAGTAATCATTTTTATTGACTATCTTCACTAAATTGAAAGATTTCACTATTATACACTCTGTAATTGTAAATAGTCTTAACTATAACTTGGAGATGGATGAATAAATCCTGGGGTTGTCACAGAAATGTGAATTTGTAATTATATAAAAGTAAACTGAGGGTGTAGCTCACTGGTAGAGTGCTTGCCTAGCAAGCTGAGGCCCTGGGTTCCATCCCCAGCATCACAAAAAATAAAATGAAACAAAGCTAATATGTGGTATTCAAGAAAAAAGATGAACAACAACAACAACAACAACAACAACAAAAAGATGAGCAAATTCAACTCAAGAAAGAGGAGGTTGCAGTTTTAAGCTAGATTTTTTTGGTACATGTGGCAAACATTTGAATCAGATTATTGCCAGGGATTTAGCTCAGTGTTCTGCCACCTGCCTTGCAAGTTCAAGGACCTGAGTTCGATCCCTGGTACTGAAAAAAAATTAAATACAATAAAATGAATTATGCACACATGTAATCTATAGTCTATGCCTCACGGCTGCTTAAAGTGAATTATAGGATTTTATCATCTAAATTTGCATTAGAAACTGTAGCTCGGCAATGTGAAGTGACTTGTTTTAGATCACACAGAAGCAGACATAAAAGTAGAATGTGTGTCTCATTTCTGATCTAGGGCTCTTTATACTGCTTATTCATGTATATTATTACGAGTGCAGACCTCACCTCTTTGGGCTTGATTGGTTTATTAAACTCCCGTATTAATTCTAGACCAGGGCAAGCATAAACCCATTGCTTGATAGCAATCACCACCTCCTGTTCTGATCGTGATCTCACGTCAGCCCCTTCCCTTCCTCCTTCCTTCCTCATTACTGAGGGGGTTTTGTCATCTCTTGTTCTCAGAGGATACTTTCCATCTGCACACTTATTCCGCTCAGTTCTGGAAAGTTTTCTTGAATTGTTTCTTTTATCCTTTTTTAACCTTCATTTTCTATGTCCTCCTTTATAATTTTTCTTTCTCTTCAAATTCCTCTGTTGAAGTTTTCACTTCTGTTCTCATAACTTTAATCAATAATCACTCTTTTATGCTCCTTGGATATTTATCTTTCAACAAACTATTCATATTTCAAAGCTACAATATCCTCTTGAGAAAACAAATTTCATGGTGTTTTTGTTGCTTTTCTTGTTGCTGGGATAAAATACTTGACACCCGAAGTTAAAGGAGGAAAGGTTTATTGAGCTCCCAGTCCTTGGAGGTTTCGGTCCATAATCAGCTGGCTCCAAGGCAGGGTGGCAGGCAGATAGGCACTGAACAGAGGAAACAGTCCATGGCGGGCAGAAGGTAGCAAAGCAAGAAAGGGAGCTTAGCGGCTTCTTTTGTCCCTTTTATGCTCTCTCTAGGCTACCGGGATTAGGGCAGTGCCAAACCAATCAGCGGACTGATTTAGTGATCACACTCTTAATCCTATCATCACACACACACTAAATTCAATCACCTCGCAAAAATCCCCGCCTATGACGGCATGAGGCTTTGGAGGGACATCTAAACACAGGCCCTGACATACTACTTTTGAAATTATTATTTCTTTGTATTTTTTTCTTTATGTTCTCTTCTTTCATTAAAATAGTTTAGTCACTTCCTCTCATACTGAGACTTCCTGAAAATGTCTGGTGATTCTTGGGTGTCCTTATGTGGATAAGAGGGGTGAGAGTCATCAGGTACGACATGGAACACTCAGGTAAATCTGAATTTAAGCAATAAAGATAAGCAATAAATATATCTTAATATGTTCCAAAGATCATATTTTTAAAAATTTGGTAACTCCAAGAGAAGAGCAGGAAGCAACTAAGGAGAGGTCTGTGTGTGCAAGGGACCTGTGGTCTCCTGGGTGCTGCTGAGGCGACCCAACAGGGGCTATTTCTTTGAGGATGGTCCACCATTCGTGTCTTTAGGTCTTTGCAGTTGAAAAGAGTTCCCAGGGTAGATGCAGTGATTCAGTGCTTAGCCCTGGGGCTGAAGTGCTGCTGTCAGTGTTCTGGGAGCAAGGTGAGCCCAATCGTGGTTCCCACCACGCTGCATGCACACTCCGAGCAGTTGTCCTTGTTTTCAGCAGGCTGCTCTTGGACTCAGCAGTGCCTGGAAAACCTTGTCCAGATCTTTCTGATGCATCTTCTCCGTGAAGCAGGTTTCCAGGAAGGAAAGATTTCTCAAACAGATTCTAGCGACTCCTATGTCTGCTTCAACTATTAGCCACGTTCACACTTCTGTAACGCTTGCGAGTCATTTCTGAGACTTCCAGAGGTTGTTTTCTGCAAGTTGCTTCTGGGATTCCCTCGCCATCAGCTTAAATTTCAGCCTTCGGGGGTCTCCGAAACCACTTACAACTCAGCCATCTGCTTTCCATCTTCCAGAATGTTGTTGTTGTTGTTTTTCCCTGATTCTTTCTGTCCTTATGGGTTAATGTCTTTAAAATCAGTCCCCATCCCTTTACTGCCTTTTTAGTGGGTTTGGGGTGGAACGGGAAGCAAAGCATATGCTAAATCTGCCATCTTTAACTAGAAGCACAGCCGTGAATGTTCAAAGTGACTGCGGAGGAGTCATTTAATTCCCCTTTTCTGAACCCTCTTTTGTAAAACGAGAAGGTTAAATGGGATGGTCTTTGATGGACCCCACACAAAAATTTTATGGTCCTATAATCGTCTGCATTATCATTATTAATTGAGAACATCAGGTAACAACTTCTCAAGCTTTTAGAACAAATTCTGTTTTCAGTCCTTTAGGGAATCGAGTCAGCAGACCGAGGCATGGTTTACATTTTCAGGCATCCAGTTTCCCAACCCTGCCAGTTATCAGGATGGAAACTCTAGCAGGACTGCCTGCTTCCTGTCCAGCTGAGGACGATGATAGAAATTTCTCTCGGAAGGCGACTGTGATGAACAAGAGGGTCGATCCTCACA